GTCTATGGGGCCTGAGTGATCTCCACTGGGCTGGGTTTGGGGTGCCTGCCCACATTAAAACCCTGGGCCCCCCTCCTTCACTGCTTTAACAGAAGTGAGTTCCAACTCATGCATGCTGCAAACCAGCAAGCGGTGATGATCAGCTACAGTGACGGAGGCAGTAGATGCTTGGGGCCGGCCCCAGCCCAGGGCCTTAAAAGGGTGGAGTTTGCCAGGTTCTCAGCCAGGGGAAAAGCCTTCAGGCAGAGAATGGCCTGGCCTAAGTATTGGTCTGTTGGGGACACTGAGTCCGGGATGTATAGAAGATGAGGGCAGAGATGGAACTGGTAGTTTCCTCCGGAAAGGACTCAGGGTTGGGGCTTCTCCATGGAAGTTAAGTGGTAAAAGACCCAATCCATGAGCCGTAAGCAGCCTGTCTTTTCCCAGGCCCTCGATCTGAGATTGGTGATGCTTCTGCTCTGACCCCCACACGGTCCCCACGAATCACCATGGACTCCAGATCGATGAGTAGAGTGATCGAGCTAGGGAAGGAGAGAGAAAACGGGTTTCCAAGAAGAGATTAAACCAGGGGAAACGCGTTTGTCTGGAGAGGAGCTGTCTCTGCAAACAGCCCTAAATCTCTGAAGGGTGATGATTACAGAGCGAAGCTGGTTCGCTCCGATCTGCACTGAGGAGGACCCAGCTGTGACCATGGAGGTGATTTGCAGGAGGAAATACTCAGGATCATCAGATGAAAGACTTGTGGTTTGGGAAGCTGGGGAAGATATTTCCACGATGCTGTTTCTGTGAGTGTTACAAGGGGTGGGCTCCCAGGGGCCGTGAGGAACCAACAGCCCTGGCCTTTCTGGGGTCAGGCTATGCACATGTGGGTCCCTCAGGCCTCATGATGAGGGCCAGTTTGAAGACAGGGAGGTTAGAAGGGTCAGCCTACTCTGCCTGCTGTGGGAAGATAATACAAGCTGGTTGCAGTGTGACACATTTTGAAAGACAACCGTGAGGATTGCAGCTATGAATTTATCTGTATTTGAGAGCACAGAACATAAAGGAGATAGTGCATCCTGGGAGGCTTAGAGATCAGGCCCCCGAGCGTTGAGGATCTGGCTGCTGAAAGACTGCAGAGTAGGCCTCCTTCCTCACAGGCGGGAGCCTGACCATCCTGACCGTCTGAGACCTGTGCTAATGCGCCTGGGCAGCTTCCAAGGATGCCCATGGTGGGGCAGAAGCCCTGGGCACTGAGTGAGCTTTGTCTACAGCTCCTTCGTGTATGACCCTCCATTCTAAGCCACAGCTTCTGGAACAATCCATAGACCTCAGCTAATGAAAGCCTCAGACCACTTGATTTAGTTTGGCGAATGATCCCCGGTCATGGTGAAGGCCAAGCTCTCCCCAGGGCTCTGTGCACAACGCAGCCATGACCGCAGGCCTGCAGGCCGCCGTGGGGAATGAGACACAGAAGTCCTCAGTGCCACAAAAGAAAAGCAGCGTTTTCAGTGGGGGCACGAATGTTCGCTTCCTCCCTCTGGAGAGAAATGCCCGCCTGCATCCCAGGCAGCTCAAATGTGACTGCCAACCCTCGGCATCCAAAAAGGGCCCACCCCGCTGGGCCTCTGCCTCCCACGCTGCCACACATCCTTGAATAAGAAGCCCCTGGGTTGTAAGGTTGTTGAACTCTGAGGGAATGTCATGTTTCCTCCTTTGGTCTGTTTCTCTCCACATTACCCTCTTTGGTAACTGTCAAACCCAACAAAACCACACAGAGAATTTTATTTGGGAAGGAAACAAAACAAAGCAAATGCTCAGCACACCATTAGGAACCCCTAAGTGGTACAAATGACTGGGTGCTGTACTTTACTAACCAGAAGGTTGGCAGTTCAAACACCACCACCCTCCCACCCTGGAAGGCCCTCCTGGTAAGGCTGAAGCATCAGTGTCCAAAAGCCGCAGTCACTTACTGCCTCGCACCCCCTCTGGGGCTGGGGCAGCAAGGGCAGGCCGTGTGCACTGGCAGAGGGCAGCCAACTTTCCAAGCAGGACAAATGTGTTTGATCTGAGAGAGCTTCCCCACGGGCTGGGATGTCTGTGTCTAGGACAGGGTTCAGCGGTGCTATGCAGACCCATGTGGGCCCTCTAAGGTCCAGGCAGCCCACCAATGACTGTGCCCAGCCTGGCTTTTATTGGGTCACTCAGGAAAGCAGCAGGGTGAGCCATGAGTCTGAGCAGAAAGGAACTGCCAATACGGAGGGAGGCAGTGCCCCCTGGGGAGATGGGAAGAATGGCAACTGGACACCAGGCATGCTTCCTGAGAGTAGCATGCTTATTTTTCACACATAATACCTCTATGGACATAGTGAGTCCACATGTATAATACACATAGGGGACTAAACCCTGGGGAGGGGGGTTGCAGAAACTGCATACTGCACGTTGTCTGCGTACAAATATAGTACTCCTGACATAGGGATACAGCCAGCCCGGCGGCCACTAGCAGAAGTCCACAGGTTGGGTTCTGGGTAAACCTGGGGAGGGTGGCCCCTTTCCCACCACAACTACTTCAGTCACTCTCAAATTCTCCTGAAGGGGGAAAAAAACCAGAAACAAAATCATTGCCATCAAGTCTACGTCAACTCGTAGGGACCCTCTAGGACAGGGTAGAAACGGCCTCTGTGGTTTCTAAGATGGTAACTCTTCACAGGAGTAGAAAGCCTCGTCTTTGCCCCTCGGAGCAGCTTGTGGTTTCGAACTGCTGACCTTGTAGCCAGCAGTCCACTGAGTGATATATTAAGAAGGCCAGTTCTGAGCCCTCAGTCCCAGAAAGTGTGACCTAGTGGGAACTTGCATTTGAAATCAGCCACCTCAGCTGAGTGATGGGAGAGGTCTGGAGAAGGCTGTTTTCAGACACAGTGGTCTAGGGGTGCTGGGAAGTCCCTGTTGCCTCAGCCTCACGAGGCTCCTGCATCCTGGGGTGCGGGGGGTGGGGGGGCACTTCAGAGAAGATTACTCTCTTATTTGACTCTCTTGAATGAAAACTAGCACATATCTGCCAGGAGTTCTTCCGAACAGCAGACGGTGAGAGTGTGGGATTACGTGCCCATTAAGAGAATAATCTAGGGGCGATTGGGGAGGGATTGAGAGATGGTGGCTACATTGACACTCTTGTCGGCTATAGTTGCTGCTTGCTGACACTGGTGTTTCCTCGGTTCAGATGATCAGGATTGTCCACCTGGATCTAGACCACCCTTCAAAGCCATTGACGTCAAGTCAATTCCAGCGCATAGTGACCCTCTAGGCCAGTGGTTCTCAACCTGTGAGTCTCGATCCTTTTGGGGGTCTAGCGACCCTGTCACAGGGGTCACCCGATTCAAAACAGTAGCAAAATGACGGTTAGGAAGTAGCAACGGAAATAATTTCATAGCTGGGGGGTCACCACAACAGGAGGAACTGTATTACAGGGTCGTGGTCGCGGCATTAGGAAGGTTGAGAACCACTGGCTCTAGAGCCTAGAGTCTAGGGTTTCTAAGTTTGTAAACTTTCACAGACTGCCACCCCTTTCTTCTGTGGAAGGGGTAATGGATTTGAACCACCAAACTGTTGGTTAGCAACTGAGCACTCTAGCCACCGTGCCACCAGGGCTCCTTAGAAAATCAACCCCAAACCCTCTACTATCAAGTCAATTTCAACTCATAGTGAACTTTAATAGGATGTCTGAGGCTGTAAATCTTTATGGGAGCAGATAGCCTCATCTGTCTCCTGAGGAGCAGCTGGTGGGTTTGAAACGGTGACTTTAAGGTTAGCAGTCCACCCTCGGGGCTTATTAAGAAATCACCAGGGGCCTTCACAGTACAGAGACCTGATGAAACAAAGTCCTGTCCTAGTGGCCATGTTAGCACTTCTATGGCTTTTCCCAGGCATATAAGGTTGCTGGGTCTCACACAACGGCTTCTGATGGCTTCCCTGACCTGTTCAATATGTGTTACCCATAATTTAATATTTATGGTCATCTCTTTCAAAATGTATGGATGCATAGGTTTCCTTTGAACGAGCCTCTTCTCTGGGCATGGCCTGTGGGGCTCCTCACAGATGATGCCCTGATCTGTAGCTTGTGCCGGCCATCCCATACTTAGGACAGGCCCTGAAGAATGTCAGAAATCCAAATGGTCCAGAGGGGACTCCCACCCCTATAGCATCCAGGCAAAGGAGCTGGGATGTCGTGGCAATCTGGCTGGCCATAGGGACTGGAGCTTTAAACATCAGTCTCCGCCCTGCTGCTGACTGTGTGACACAGACATGATTCTAACTTCTCTGCGCCTCTGTTTCCTCACTGGTTGTGTGAGAAAACGCTCACGTCCTTCTCGTGGGAAACATTTTGTGGGAAAACCTCAGGCCCAGAGTGTTTGGTCAAGAAAGGTTACAGAAGCTGTTCTTGGCTATTTTCTGCCTTGATAACGTAACTCCTTTTACTGGAAGGAGGAAAATTGGAGCATTCCAAAGGAATTCCCCTTTTGAGAGGTGCTCTCATTCCCTCTCCCTCCCAACATTATGGATAGGCAGTGGAACTGGATTGGGTGGGCCCATCAACGACACTGGGATGTGCCTGGCCTTCTGAAACTGTGAGCTGGTGCCACCGGGAAGGGATGGCCCCTGGTTGCCGTTTCAAGGGGACAGAGGCACACAGCCTCCGTGCCTTGACACTAGGAGGGGCTTGAGATTCTAGACCATCTCTCTAATGACATTACCCAGCACAAAGAGAGGGGCTTGGGGCAGACTCGGCAACAGGAAGCCACCTTGACCTAGAGCTGAGTGGGTTCTGCTGCAGATGAGACCAAGGTTGGAGCCTGCACCTTGCCCCACCTGGGCCTGCAGGTCGATGGGGCCACACCCCTGAGGAGGGAGAATGGGAAGTGGAGGGAGTCAGGTATCCCGGCAGCTCCTGCAATATTGATGGAGTAATGGAATACTGCACTGTACCGCCCGTGGACCCTACTCTCTGTGCCTCCTGGCGCCAGGGACCACAGACTTGCTGCAGGGACATCACAAAGGGACAGTCCCCCACCCCTTTTCCTCATCCTCTTTGACTTCAAGGCCCCCGTCCTGGGTGTGGAAGGCAACGTCAAGCCGCAGGAAGAGGTAGGCACGATGGAATTGGCCTAAGTTCCTGAGAAGGACCGGCAGTGAGAGGGGGTGGGCAGAAGGGGCAAAAGGCAGGACCTACACTAGATGGGAAAGGGTCTTGTCACCTCCTGTGTCCCGGGAACCAGAGAAAACCCAGGGGCAAGGAAAGTCGAGGACCCAGGGAAGCATGGGACTCTGGGAGGTGGGAGAAGCAAGGTGCAGAAAGCTGAGTGGCTGGTGGTCCCTGGGGAGGAGAACAGAGAGGCAGGTGGGGGTAGGGCTAGAGGGAGATTGGGAGGAACAGGAAGAGGCCGAGAGTTGCCTCCAGGGAGATATTGCATTTAGACCATAAGGCAGGTGTCTTGGGAAAGGTCCCAAAAGAGCCAGTGACATTTTTTTTTTTTTTTAATACTAGGGTGATCTGAGGCCTGCATAGCTCATTTCTCCCACAACTCCCACCTTCTCCCCTGGCTTCTGCCCATCGATCCCTGGCGTTCAGTCCTAATGTTGTGTCTGATGGGCCAGCTTCCTTCCCAGTGGGGCGCAGACAGAGGGAGGCTGAGGCTGTGGGTGCTGGCTGAGCTCGGAGCTCTGAGAAGGCAGGGTGCCATGTGGCTGAAGAGACTAGGGCCCAGAGGGGCTGGGGTTTCTATTGTTCCTGCTAGCGGACCGCCGTTGTCTTCTATCTGTGCACTGTTTCGGTCTGTGCACTGGGGCCTCTCCCCCATCGAGAGTGAAGATATGAGGAAGGAGGTGTGGGCAGGTTTGCCAGTCTCCTAGGCGCCCCCGCCCCCCCGCACTCCGGAATAGCTCCCAGTCTGGGGGTGTGAGCCGTGCCCTCCCATGGGGATCAACTGATGAGGACCCAGGTGTCATCTGCCACTCTCTTCTGTGTTTGCTCCTCTGTGTTGGTGTGCGTGACCCTCCCTCCGTGCCTCTACCTGC